CGCAAAAGGATCCACTATTTTTAACTAGATTTTGACCGGATTTTGGCATAAATGCTTTTTGGCACCAAAAATAGAGTATTGGAAAAAGAGACACAGACATACCAAATGTGCTCTCCTATTGATTTTCTATAGGCTATGCGGTGAGAGAGTATTGGAAAAGAGACGCAGACAATTCCTATTGATTCCCATTGATTCCGTTCTCTCAACCCATGTCCTCCCAGCCTCATTCAACCATCCCAACACCATCTCGGGTGGTTGTCTCACCTTTAAATTAGAATAAATCGATTTTTGGGAATTTCCCAAAATTTCGATTAGACTACGATCGCCTTCTGCATGGCGGTTTAGTCGATATTCTATTTTTATTTTTTCTGATGTTTTCTATGTATTTTATTGGATTCTAAATCCTAAATCCATATTCTCGACCCTTAAAAAAGTTAGTTTTTCTACTTCATATTAAATTTTCAACCTTAAATTGCCAAAATCTCTGTGGCCACTCATTTTGGCTTCTTTTCCAATAGATTGTCAGATTTCTCATGGAATTTCCGACATTTTGAGCCCAATTTCGACTATTTTTGGTTGACTTTTCAGTTTTCGATTGGCCGACCGCGACGCGCCGCGGTCGAAAGTCAAAAGCGACCAAAATGGGTCGTGTTGGGGTTCAAAATGCGGCAAATTTTGTAAAAAGTCCAATAAGAGCAGTTTTAGGCGGTTTGAGTAGCCATTTTTTGAAGATAATGATTTTTTTATTGAATTTTGGATTTTTGGACTAAAAACCGTAAATGCCCAAATTTGTCCAAAATCAAATTTCGGACGTTGTGAACCCCATGTCGACCATATTTGGCCTGGGAAAAATAATAAATAAAGAAACACTTTTTTTCAATTTGGTTTTTTTTTCAGGAATGTCCTACTCGCCCTTGGTATTGGACTATACTGAGTCCGATGGAGAAGAAGCACCGCCACCCACAACAGGGCCGCCCCGCGAAAAGCTCCCCCATCGATCACCACACTGCTACGAATCCCCAAGAACTACAAGAAGCAACCCGTCGTGGATCAACTCGACGATACGGTCAAATGGGGAAACGAGAGGAAGAAGTAGGAGGAGGAGAAGAGCAAGGATGAGAAGAGGATGAAGGAGGAGAACAGAATTACCGTCCGCCAAGAGGAGGATACAGGAAGACGTACGAAAAACCCTTCGAAGCTTTCTTCATCAAAACCTTACTCTTTCAGAAACCAAGATCCATCCTGACGGCTGCAAGATGGAGGATAGTTCACCTCCAGAGCGATTCGTTCAAGGAAGGCCATCTCATCACTGAATTGGCCAGGATGTTGTCTACTGCCGACGAAAGAGTGCTGAAGAGACACTATAAAAGCTTCTCATCCGAGGTTAGTATATGGCTCATGCTTGCTCCCAAAATCCTATTCGGAAAATTGGATATCCGGGGTTTTTGTTTGATATTCTAAACTCTAAACAAGTCTGATAGGGCCTTTCACATTTCTAATAGGTGGAATCCATGCCTGAAACTATAATTTTTGAGTTTCTCATAAAATTTCCGTCATTTTGAGCCCCATCTTGGCTAGATTTGGCCAAATTTGATTTTCGACCGCTCCGACCGCTGGCGGCGGTCGAAACGCAATATCGACTGAATATATGCATTATAAGAGTAAAAAAGTCAGAAATATGATAAGCATTTCGAAAGTTATAAATTCCAATAATTTGACCGAAACTCAGCCAATTTCAGGCATTTATGATTTTTGGCTCCCAAAATTCCAAAATTTAAAGAAAAAACGTTCAAAAAAAATGATCAAACTGCTCTGAAACTATCCTTTTCGAGTTTCTCATGAAATTTCTGACATTTTGCACCCCATATTGCCTATATTTGGTCAATTTTGATTTTCGACCTTTTCGACCGCTGGCGGCGGTCGAAATGCAATATCGACTAAATATATGCATTATCGGGGTCAAAATGTCAGAAATTTGATAAGGATTTCAAAAATGATAACGCAAAAGGATCCACTATTTTTAACTAGATTTTGACCGGATTTTGGCATAAATGCTTTTTGGCACCAAAATCCAAAATTCAAAAATTTTACAATTTGTCTCCGAAATTTATCAAGTTGTTTTGGAACTATGATTTCTGTGTTCCTCATAGAATTCCCGTCATTTTGAGCCCCATCTTGCTTAAATTTGGTCAATTTTGAGTTTCGACCGCGGTCGAAACGGTCGAAAATTAAAATTGACCTAATATAAGCAATATGGGGCTCAAAATTTTAGAAATTTGATGAAGACTTTGAAAATGATAATTTTCACTACTTTTAATATATTTTTATCACTGAATTTGAGTTTTTCAGGCTGATCAAAGGGGACTTCACCACAAAAACCAATAAGGGATTGATCGAAAAGAAGGCCACGATTATTTTTGCACATAATTGGTTTTTTATTTTTCAATTGAATAAACATTTTTTAATTTTATACAATTTTCCAAAATTTTCGAAAAATTTTTTACAAATTTCTGAAAAATTCAAAAACTACCGTAATACTGATTTTGAGCTATTTTAACCAAAAATGTTGAATCTACCTTGGTTTTAGCTTTAAAATAAGCCTAAACACGACTCATTTCTGAAAATTTTGAAATTGCCGAATTTTTTGGGATTACTGTACTTTTTGAAATTGCTGTAACTTTGTGATTTCTGAACGGGTTTTGGAGACTTTCAGATTTTTGGAATCCTCAGGAAATTTCAAACATGTTGAACTCTAACACGACCTATTTTAATCAACTTTGATTTTCGACCGTACAGCGCCCGCGGTCGACGGTCAAAAATCAATTTTCACCTAAATAGGCCGAGTTTGGGCTCAAAATGTCGGAAATTCTGTGAGAAGTTTGAAAATCCATGTTTAAATTTTATTTTCATGCTGAAAATCAATTCTTTTGGGATTTTTCGAAAAATTTCCAAAAAAAAAAACAATTTTTTTCAAAAAATTTAAATATTTTATTCATATCAAGTTACATATAATTAAAGCAATTAAAGCAATATTTAAAAAAAACAGGCAAGATTTCACAATTTCTCCAAATTTACAGACGTTTCATCTTCACGGCGTGTGTTCCAATGGCGTTTAGGGCAGCCATCATTTCGTCGCCTGAAAGCCAATTTTAGTAATTTTCTATGTTGTCATTATGAAAATTGAAAGAAACAGAAAATTCCAGACATTTTAAACCTAAAACCCCGAAAATTGGCACAAAACTGGTCAGGTTAGGGGATTTTCAAAAAATTTCAAAAAACTTTTTTTTTTGAAATTTTTTCGAAAATCTTCCGTAACTTTTTTACAGTTATCCTAATTATGTTTCAAACAAAATTTTTGAGTTTGACTCGTTTTCAGCTTCAAAATGAGCCTAAACAAGGTCTACTTTCGATTTTAGGCCTTTTCAGGGCGGAAGGCTTAAATTAGGCCCGGCTAGGCCTAATTAAGGCCCGCCTAGGCTTGTTTATACTCAGTTTAAAGCTCGCGACGTGGCAAATCAGAATTTGTAATTTAAAAATTTATTCATACAACGGTTAAAAAGATATGAGAGATTTTGCAATAATAAAAACATTTTTGCAATATTTTCGAAAAACGAATTTCAGCATTTTTCATATTTTTCTAGTCCTTACCAGTGGCTTTAATAAACATTGGCGGCAAGTTGAACGCGAAACTGTTCGGGTTGTCAGTGGGGCGCAATTCCACACCATAGATGTACGGTACACCGCGATGCTGCATAAAATCAATACTAGTGCCAGAAGCGGGGTCTGAAAGTTGGAATTTTGAAATTTCAATGAAAAATTTGAATTTCACGCCCTCAAGTTAGTCCAATTTGAAGTTTTCAGCTCAATCGGAGCTATTCGGTGTTTGGTTATTTTTGGAACTACAGTAACCTGAGAAAGTTAGATTTCTGAGTTTTAGAGACATTTGGGCACGTTTGCGACACTGAAAATGACCTCAAAATCAAAATTTTAGCCTAGAAACTCAAAAACTAGAGGTTTTGGGCTCATTCGGTGTTTGCGTACTTTTGAAGCTACAGTAACCTAAAATTTTCGAAAAATGTGAAAATTGAGCTAGAAACTTCTAGTTTTCAGCTTCTAAGCTGAAATTTTCTGGTGAATCTACTGTAACGAAAAAAATCCAGAAAAACTCACACATCATTTCCGAAATGGTCCCATAGCTATAAGAAACTCCGGTAGTATTTTTTATGGCTTGCGCGGCTTCTTTGGCAGCGTTTTGCTGCAAAAAATCTCATCACACTAATCCAGGAGTACTGTAGTTACCTGATCTTGATAATTTTCCGTTCTTTCATTGGTATAACCCCATGGCGACAGTAGAAGTTGGCCATAAGAGTGCAGAGAGATATAAACCATTGGATTGGTGATTTGCCATGTGAAATATTCCTTTAAACCTGAAAATCAAGAATTCAGACTGGGAAATTTGTGATTTGAAACTCAAAATTGAGTTTCTCGCACTTTTTTGCCCCAGGAAACCAATTTTGAGCCAATTCTGAGCAAGTGTCGTCAAATCTGGTGTTTGGTCCGCAAACACCATAAAGGAGCGAGAAATTTGAAAATCTAAGGTTAAATTCGAGTTTTCCATAACAAATTACATCTGGGACCATATTCTTAGAGTTTTTGGAGCAATTGTCGT